AATAATTAAAAAATTTTAATTAAAGTGAAAACCACTTATTAAACATTAAAACTAATTTTTCTATTTTCTTAAAAAGGAAGAAGAAGAAGAAGAAGCGTGAGGGAGAGGGAGAATTTATTGTAATGTGGGTGACACGGGGGACACCATTAGCGTCATGTATGTGCATGAAATTGGATGATATGGTGGTGCATCTAATGAATTGAAATTACATATATGACATTCCTTATTTTTACATTTTATATGTATCTCTTTTATTTTATGAGGTTCGACCCGAGATCGAGATCGAGATCGAACAAAATATAAACTAAATTAGATAAAATATTATTTAGCTCAATTCAATTCGAACCAACCAACCAACTTAATTTAATTTAATTTTTCAATGAATATAAACTACTAAATATATTTCGTGTGATTACTTAACGATGTAAATTAATTAGAAAATATTAGTTAAAAATATTTGACACTCAAATTAACGAACATTTAATAATTAAGTGAATAATATCAAATAAGTGATAAAAATAAAAATAATCAACTTAGTAATCGATTTACTATTAAACATAATTTTTTTATTAATATTTTATTTCGATTTAAATTATTGAAATTATATATATATGTATATGTATATTTGCAAATAAACAAACATTAATGTAATTTTATAAATTATATTTCCCAAAAACATAATTATAATTTAATTGGCGAGAATTTCACTTGAGAAAAGTTTATATAATACGAGAGGAGCAAGTTGTGGTCATTATTTTAGTTTTTAATAAAACACACTTAACAATAAATTATTTGGTACCACATAATTAATTGATTAATTATACCTCCCACTTATTATTTGCATGTGATTTTCTTTTCTCCTAAGAAAAGGCAGAAAGCACTTCAAATATGTAAATATACCCACAATTTTAAATGTATATGATTGTGTGTGTGTGTGTGTGTGTGTATATATATATATATGTACGACAAATATGTAAATCTACCCACAATTATATATATGTATACGTGGGCTTACTAGTACATACATTAGAATTTTTTGTGAGTTAATAATTAAAAATTTTATATTTTAGTTTAAAGGTAAAGTTCAAATTTTATTAAAAGATTAAACAGGGTAAAGTATATATATATATATATATATATATGTAATTAAGTATGATACGCCACTTGAGCTGAAAATAATAATGGCAGCAGCCGGCGGTGGGGGCAGTAGTCACAGGTATGTGATATGTAGCATATAGAATTCACTACTCCAGTGGTTTTTCCACATGAATTCATGTGGGTTTTGGTTCTCATCTTTTCTAATACATATATATAATTGTGTACTATATATATACATATATATATATATATATATACTACCATGACAGGGAAATTATAGTTAATTAAATTTAATTAAGATAACATAATTGTAGAGTTGACTTAAGTTTGATCCTTATTTCACATTTAATTTTTTTTTTTTTTAGGATAATTAAAAATCTTTTGAGCCTAATTAATATAAACCCTTATTTTCAAGCAAAATAAACCCCTTAAAGATACAAATCAATAACAAGTTTGTGTCGGGACATCAATTTGAGGACTATCATGTTTTAAACTGGGACTCCTCGGTAAAAGTTAGTTCTCTATTTTAATATCTACGTATTATATCAATGCCTGACCACCTATCTCAGCTTGTTGAAACATCAAAATTGAGTTTAAAAACTCTTTACATTGATGGTTACTATTCTTGAAGTCTTTCTGCTCTAACCCACGTGATACCTGGGCCCGAGATAATTTTTTTCAACTTATAAAAAATATATATAATTAAAATTTATTTTAATTTAGTTTAGTTTTGTTAAATTTTTGAAAAAAAATGAATTATGAACGAAATTAAAAATAATTATGGAGAAAATGGGTGAAAGTGTGAAAATAAAGGGTGTTTTTGAAAGAAAATTTAAAAATATGAGGTAAAATCGTAAGAAGAAAAAGTTTGACCACGTGTGACAGTCCGGTCAAAAGTCACGGCGAATGAGGACACACTGACATCAGCACCACGTAGAAGGCCACGCGGCAATCCGCGTGCCTGGGCAATCCAATGGCCCAGATCGTATCCCACGCGCACGAATGGCCCAGATACATTCTTTTTTTAGACGCGATCGAACGAACGAGATTGATTGCGATAGACGGTCTAAATTTGTCCACATCATCGGCCTAAACGAAAAATCATCGAACGGTCCTCCTCGCTCTATGTTGACTTGAACGAGTGGTCTAGATCATATGGAGAGAGATATTTAAACCCATCTTCGCAGAGAACCAAAACCTTAGCCGACACCTAGCCAGAGAAGAAGAAGAAAAAGGCAGCCTGAGGGAAGACCAGCTATCGGAGGGATGCCGCTGCTGCCGTACGGAGCCAACGTCGACCGCCAAAAAATATAAAAAAAATTTCTTCTTACTTGGAATTCGATCTGGAGTCTCTCTATGGCCATATCAAAGCAAAATGGTCGATGGGTGAGCCAAAAATCGCGGACAAATCTCGGTTGAGCCGCTATGGCCAAAATCCAAAACCCTCTCCGATGACTCACTTTTCATTTCTCATTTTACGTGATTTTTTGACCACCGTGTTCATCTTCCTTTTCTGGTGCAGGTTAGCCAAAGAAAAACTCGAGCCGCGAAGGGGATCGGCGGAGCCACCGCACTTGGAGACCTTCCACAGGTAGGATTTTAATTTTTTGACTTTTCTAACCAACCGCAGCCAACCGAGGCCTCCTAACTCATTTTTCACAGGTTTACATGTAAAACCAGCCAAAATTGACCTAAACCAACTAAAATCAAGAAAGCCAAGGTAAACCGCCGCCATCCCATAACCATAAAGTTTGCTAGAAGGGTTTTAACATGCCTATTTTAGTTTTTTGGAATATTTTTAGATACTTAACGGGTGTTTTAAATTCTATAAGAAAAATTTAAAAAATTCAGAGACTGCCAGGAGACACAATAAAAAGTACAGTATTTTGAGCACTGATTCGAGGTAAGAATCTCTTACCATTTTCTCTGTAACAGTAAATTGATGTTTAATAATCAATAATGTTGTGTCTTGTAAAAATTAAAAAATTTTAAAATTAATTATAAGTCACTATTGGAGCCTGAACCAGTTAGTGCATATTCGTCCCATTTATTATTTATTTTCTCTTATACTGCCTCAAATGCTTACTATTATGTTGTGTGCGTTAAATTGCTAGTTTTTGTTGTCTTCTCAGTTATTTAATTTATCTAACCGCATAGCCTTAATTATTGGTTCGTTTGCAATAAGTGTCTCAATTATGTTATCTTGACTTACGTATCATCTCTTTGCATAACTTATTGTTGGTTGGTAAATATGAGATGTTGATATATAATTGAGAATTGGTTGATACAATGAATCTATGTATGAAAACCTACTGGGTATCCTGGGAAACGATAGACGGATCAGGTACATAGGAAAAATTCTACTGTGAACGTTACCTCAGTCGGACGGGGTTGAGAGATCTCATTCCGAAAGGGTTTGAAAAATATAGTTCACCCTCATACCGGATGAGTATCAAAGCGATGGTACGTTTGGCGGCCCATTACTGAACGGGGTATGGGGACATGCAGTTTATTAACAATTTGGATTATTGGGTTTATGCATAG